AGTGAGCCCTCTTTGTCCAGGCTCCCTGACTCCACCCCTCTTGCCATTCTGGATGAATGTGTCTATTTTTTAACTCCTTGGTTGTTGAACTTCCATTCAGTTCAATTTTCTGTCAGTACTGGTTTTTTGTTTTTCAATTGTTGTTCTTATTTTGATTGTGCAAGGAGTCACAGTGTGTCTATCTATGCCTCCATCTTGGCCAGAAATTCAGAAGCAAATTTTCTAATAAATTACATTTTAATCGAATCTACAACCATGTCATTCTAATTTTTTTCATTTATAGCCACTGTTTTTACTCTAGTGCATTTGCAAATGTATCTTTGGATAGGTTCATGAAACCTATCCAAAGGTTTAGATTTCTTACTCTAAACCTTTAGAGTATGGTTTAGAGTATGACTTACTCAACTTACTCTAAATTAAAGGTATCTAAGGAATAACTAGATTCATGGAAATACTGGCAAATAGTCAAGACAAACAAAATTTGGTTATATGGGACGAAATAAACTGAAGATAGTTGTTATACTTATGACTTTGCTCAAATATTGCTAATTTTAAATCTTTTTGTTTTCCAGGTGTAAGAAAACTTGCTTTCTCCCCCCTAGAATAATTTGTAAATTTTACCCTCCTAAGCAATATTGAAACATTTATAGACACACCTCCCCACTGGGGATCAGGCCTGCGATCCAGGCATGTGCCCTAGAGTGAGAATCAAACCAGTGACCCTTTGATTCTCAGGCTGGTACTCAATCCACTAAGCCACACCAGCCAGGATGAGAACTCAGCAACTCTTACTGAGTATTATTTCCATGGCAATGTATTTGCATAAATCCAGTAAGAATCTGTTCTTTTTATAATAGCACCAGTTTCCAAATGTGATTTTATCAACTCAGACTTTGCCTGGAATGTCATGATCAAAGGTGTGTTGCCTGGATTCTGGATGTCATCAGAAAGCCATAAGGAATTAAGATTGACTTTGAAGTCAATTAAAAGCCCCTTGGAGACATGGCTTGGTACCTTGCTTGGTCAGGTGGTTCACAGCAGTCTTTCCAGGTAAGGTATGAAGGTTGCTTTCCTAAAAGATGGCAAGAAAGAAATCTGAAGACATTTTGGGGACCTCAAGAACATGAAGAATCCACCCAAACCTATAGGTACTGCAGGCAAAGCCATATGGCAACTATGTGGCTTGGCTTCTGGCTTCTTTAGTCCTGAAGGACTAAAACTTAGTTGGAAGGTTCCTTGTGAAATTCCAGCAAAGCAGATTTAAAAGAGCCTATATAGTCAATTGCTATTCTTGTGTTCATGCAAATAATCAGGCTAAATTGAAACTGAACTTAATGCAGTCTCTTTGATAACATGAGGGTGATTTTAGGGAGAGAAATTATTTCAGTGGAAATTGCAACGTCCAATTGTCACCCACAAACTGAAATGAATCCTACTTTTTTAAGTTTTTTTCCAAGCCAATGTTCCATTTTTTCTTTCATCTTTTGACTTGGAATTATTGACAACTGTTGATGCAGTGTCAGTCATACATAATTTACTTGCTACTCTGTCTCTCCCTTTTTGGGATTTTAAGGCCACTATCTGGTCCTGGTTTTCCTGGCTAACTCCCTTCCTAGGACCTATAGCAGCCTTTTAAAATTCTTGCTTTTAGGCCACATCTTCTCAAATATCTCATATCCTTCATTCAACAGTTTCCAGGCTCTAGGAGATTCTCTCCCTAAATAGCCTCCAGCCACAGCTCTCTTTTTGGGCTGTCCAATTCCACCCTTTCCCCCTTAATGACCTATACCCTGACCAACAGGCAGGGACAGGTCTACAGTCCTAATCTGCCTGAAGTAGTCACAGAGAGACCTTCATCTCTACTCCCTAACTAGAACTGGGCCAGGTCATTAAGAATAAATCCATTTTAAAACCCAAGGGGAGAAAGAAAGGATAAAGACAGTGCCATTTGCTGAGTAGGCCCTATGACCTTGTTAAACATGACTGCCATTTTACTCTTCTGAGCTTATGTTTGTAGCACTGGAAATTACTGGAGAGCAAGAACAGACAGTGACTAACCACTTGCCACACCACAGGCAGAAGATAACACTGGAACAAACTGCATCTTATGCAAAACCACCTGAAACCTTCTGTGTTGCAATTCCCACAACAGCCCAGTGGCCACACAACAGCACCCCCCATAACCCTTTTTATAATCCAATTGTAATCCAATAAAAGCTCAAAGCCCCCATCCCTCAGTGCTGGTGTATCTCTCCACACCATGTCCCTGTTCACTCTTGGAAAGTGAACAAAAACTTTGCTCTCTGCATTTTCTTTTCTTTGTGAATTTTTTTCACAGCCCATGTTGTTGACCACCCTAAAAATAATACTGTCAGAAAGACTGTCAGATGTGCAGTTTTGAGTGATGTTAGCAGATTCCCAGTTGCTGCAGATACCACCCCACCACTCTTCCTTGCATCATATCTATTTCGTGAACTGTGTTAGAAAAGCAGGCCCCACAAGCACAAGCTGCCCATTTCTCCTGTTCTTAATGCCTCCTGCTTCCTCCTGCAGGCCTGCAGGTTGCCTCCAAAGTGTCTCCTGTGTGGTAGCAATGTGGTTTACTGGCCAGGGCAAAGTATTACATGCTCACTCAAAGAGCAGGCAATTAAAGGGGGACATTCAGCATTTATCTAGCTCTTCCCATACAGACCATACTTTAAGACCAATAGCCTTGATGAAGGAAAGCTATTTTTTTTTCACTGAAGAATTCCAGCTAACAAATGAGGGCAAAATAATAGAATTTAAAAATCAACATTTCATAATCCATTATGAAATAACTGATTCAGGCAAAACTCATCTGTGGATGAAATTGTCAGAGGAAGGGTGATGGGGGATCATTGAAGAGGAGGGTCAGGCTGTAGCCATCTGAACCCATAGAAACCCACCAAATGCAGTTTTTTTCTCAGAGAAGGTGGAGCCCAAGGTACTTGCCTCCTGTGGGGGGCAGAATAGGAAGCACATAGCACCTGGGAAGGAACCCCCTAAAATGGAATCTGAATCCAATAAAAACTCCAGGTTTGATAACTGGAAATACAAGAGATGGAGCAAGAAGTTAAATGACATTCTGAGGAAGCAACTGATAAATCCAGAGAGTGGAACTGTTACAGGAGAAACTACCAAGTATTTGTATAGATGGTAATAAAAAAGAAAAGTGGGATTACTATAGGTTAAATTTAGGAGACATCAAAATGCAATATATAGATTTTCTTTGGATCCTGATTTGAACAAATCAACAACAAATAAGACATTTTTGAGACAATGAAATTTGAACACGACTGGTTATTGGATGATACCACAGTATTATCGTTCATGTACAATGGTATTATGGTTATATAATAAATGTTGTTTTAAAGAATGAGATGTATACTTAAGAATGAAGGGGTGAATGTCATGAGGTCTGGGATTTGCTTTAAAATACCTCAGGCCCTGGCTGCTGTGGCTCAGTGGGTTGAGCGCCAGCCTATAAACAGAAAAGTTACTGGTTCGATTTCCTGCCAGGGCACATACCTGGGTTGCGGGGCACATGACAGGTACCTGGTTGGGGGCCTGCAAGAGGCAACCAATTGGTGTTTCTCTCACACATTGAAGTGTCTTTCCCTCTCTTTCTCTGTCCCTAAAAATTAAAATATTAAAAAAAAAAATAGCTCTGCCTGGCGTAGCTCAGTGGATTGAGCATGGGTTGCGAACCAAAGTGTCGCAGGTTCGATTCCCAGTCAGGGCACATGCCTGGGTTGCAGGCCATGGCCCCCAGCAACCGCTCATTGATGTTTCTCTCTCTCTCTCTCTCTTTCTCCCTCCCTTCCCTCTCTAAAAATAAATAAATAAAATCTTTTTAAAAAATGTTCATTTTATTTATTTATTTTGAATCTTCACCTGAGAATATGTTTATTGTTTTAAGAGATAGGGAGAGAGAGAAACATTGATCAGTTGCCTCCTGTACGTGCCCAGCTGGGGACTGAACCCACAAAGTATGTATGTGCCCTGACAGGGAATTGAACTCGCAAACTTTTTGGTCTATGGGCCAATGCTCCAACCAACTGAGCAACTTAATAAAATTATTAAGATTTTATTTATTGGCCAGGACTAAGAAATAAAATCTTAATAAAATAAAGTGAAATAAAACAAAATGTATCAGTAAGGGAAAGGCACAAAAAAGGATCAGAAGTAACAATGTGGCAATATCTTGATAACTGCTGAAACTAGATGGATGTTTAGTACATGGGGCTTGTTAAGCTATTTACTTTTGAGAGCTTTTGAAAATGTCTATAAATTTAAAAATTGAAGTTTTATATTATTGGTCACAAATTTTGGATAAAATATAACAAAATTATAGCATATCTTCACACAGTGGTATTATTTCACTTCTATCAGCAGGATAAATTATCCTAACATTTGCTAGAGAAGCAGCTGCAAGTGAAACAAACTTCTAACTGCAAATGAATGTGGCCCTCATCCCTTTGTGTGAGAGACATTCTTACTACGTCGTCCAGGTGTTGTACTTTCCTTCCATCAGGATGAATGCTGACTCTCACATTCACCTGTAGCCGCCAAGGTTCTTTTCCCAGCATTGCTGTAGAATGAAGATGCTATTTTCTCCCATAATTTGTCCCAGTGTTTATTCTCTGACAGGCTGGCCTGGGAGAGGCTTGCCACCTGTACTGTACACAGCTGCTCCCTGCCTCGTGGAGGACAGCACCCACTCATCTTAGAGATACAAAACAGAGCAGGTTTCAAATACCTTGTGGGATTCCCCTCTGACTGTGCATTATACCTGTGAAGGTCAATCTGTTTTTCAGTGATAAAGAATGTGAAAGGGAAAAGAGGGTTTGATTTGCCAAAGTCCGATGTTCGTAGGCCATAAAACAACAGCATCTTCCCCAGAGCTCATTCCCAGCCCCACTGTGTACACAAGGAACACAGACATGAAGATGGGCATTGACTAAACCACAGACTCTACATCCGTTCATTCATCTTCATTAAAGATTTTGTGTTACAAACATTTTGATCCATAAATAGTCAAGGCTGATGGTGCTACTAGTCCCTTAACCTGAAAAGAAACACCATGCCCTCCCAGGCCCTTCACCAACCCTCTCCAAAGCTAGTATCTTACCTCAGAGAGGAAGCTCAGCTTTCCCCAATTTCAAGTTCACATTTATTCAATTCTACAGGCCCACCTAGCCCTGCCCAAAGAAAGGACCAATCATTGTTTTGAGAGGGCAAAAAGTGTATGGGGCCAGACCCAGCAATGTGGAAAGGAAGCACACCCAGGTGGGGGCAGGACTTCCTGTGTGGGAGAAACAGCCAGGCTTTTAGTCCTAACGGAATGATTTCCCTGTCAAAGAAAAGCTGATTTTGCAAAAGGCTGGATCTAAAGGAAGGTGTAACTGTCTTTTAGGCATGTCCAGCAGACCCTCCATAGGCCCATCATCCTGAAGACTGAGTCCAGGGCCTTCTACCCTTGTGGCAGGTGTACAACTCAGAGTGTCCCATACACGCTGACTTTGGCCAGGGAGATGCTCTCTGTGTAGTGGTTCCGGCCTTTCTCATACAGGACGAAGAGTTGGGGGGCCTGGTTCTTCCCGCCCACACTGCCCTCCAGGGCTGCCAGCGATGAGTAGCCACTAGGCCCTGGCCAGAGCTGGACTGTCTCTTTTCTCCATGAGGTACCATTGCTAAAACTCCAACGCAGGGTCAAGTTCACTCCTGGGAACAGCAGCAGAGTCAGGAAAGGAGGGTTTCTGCCCAGGCCTTCTCTAGACAACATGCTCCCTGCCCACCCACCCTGGCAGACACTCACGGAACTCTGGATGGGCTGGGTTGGAGAAGAACACAATGCCAGAGCTGGTGGCTACAGCTCCTGCAGCAACCACAGGGTCCACAAGCTCAGGGTCAAAGGTCACATCACGGGGCCTCAGTGTATCACAGGCATCGTAACTGCGGAGGACAATTCGGCAGTGGCAGTGGTAGTTGTTCTGGTTCCGGGCGTTGATGACAACTGACCCATCTGGGAGCTCATAGGGCTGAGGAGAGGAGAGAGAACAAGGTTTCAGGAGGGGGCGGGGCAAAGGGCCCTGTCCCTGAGGGAGTAAAGCTGGTGGCACAAAACTGGAAGCCAGACCCTGGCTCTGTGAGTGAAATGGTGCTCTGGTGGACAGGGCAGGTGGAGTGTGTGGGAAACAGCCCACGGACTCTGACCTGGCACTCATCGGGGTTGAAATCATTTTCTCGCTTAGGCTGGCCATAGGGAATGCCGCTGACCCCACTGCCATAGCGCCAGGAAGCGCCGTGGTCATCACTGAGGAGGCAGAAGACCCCATCCCGCTCCAGCGTCCCATGACCACACACGATGAGCCGACCTTTCCGTGGTTCCCGTTGTTTCTGTGGGAAAGGAAGCTGGGTGTCACAGAAGGAGAGGCTGAGGGAGGCTCAGAGGTAGGGAAGGGGAACCCACCACCCTCTAAGTGTGAGGACACGTATGGTCCCCTTCAGTTCTGTGCTTGCTTGCTCAGGGTCTGACAAAGATCCCACAAACAGCCATTGCCTGCATTAAGCTCTTTTGCAGAATAAGCTCCTTCAGGACATCTAAGACCTATGCTGGACAGTTTGTGCACAGAATAAGGGGGCCCAGCCACAGTGATGGATGGGAGCTTACTCTCACACGTGGTGTGCTCACTCAAGCCATGCACCATGGCACAAACTTGTGTCTGACCAAAGGAAGGGGTGTTTTTTCCTAATATGCAGCCCTGTTGACAACCACCAAGTGGGAAGTTACATCTTCCCAATACTCCCAGGATATCCCTTTCTTCTTAGGGACTCCACCTAAGAGGGAAATTCTGACTTCACAGGATCTTCTCCTTGGGAGAGGTCCATTTTGGGGCATCTCCCAGGCTCTCCACTAGGCAGCCCCCTCTACCTATCTCAGGACAGAGACCTGAATGCCAGAGCCAGGTCCAGGAGCAAACATCTCAGTGCCAATATCCAAGGAGAGGTTCCGGGGCGGGCTCCAGGAAACACCATCATCTTTGCTCCATAGCAACATGGTGGAAGCCACCTGGCAGCCAGCCTTGTGAGCACATAGGGAGTAAAAAAGGAATACCACTCCCGTTTCAGTATCGCTCACCACTGCTCCCAGGTTCAGACCATCTGGGGTCTCCCCATCATCCACAATGAATGCTGTAGGAGACCATGTGCTGCCTGAAGAAAAAAGGGAAGAAACCCAGGGTGAGCACCCTGGAGATGCCGTTTTCACCACTCCCTGTAACCTTCACCTCCTGCTAGGAACCTGAGACCTCACAATGGCCCTGGGGCCTCCAAGACCTGCTTATGCCTTTGATCTTAACTATTCTACCCTCACTCACTCCATCCAGCCACACAAGCCCCTCCCTACTCTTCAAACACCTCCTTCCTCAAGGCCTTTGCACATGTTGTCTGGTACACCCTTCCTACAGGCTAACCGTGCCAGTCCTGTGAGTCTTTGCTCAAATGTCACGTACTGAAAACTGCAATCAAACTCTGGCACTCCCCATACCTCTGTTCTATTTTACGTCTCGTCATTGCATTGATCACCTTCCAACACAAAAAATACATGTATTTATTTGTTATGCTTACTGTCTGTTTCCCCCTAGTAGAATGTAAACCCTGTGAGGGCAGGAATTTTTGCTCTTTTGTTCATAACCGTATTCACAGAACCTACAATACAACAGTACCAGGTATATAGTTAAGGGCTGGGTGGATGTTTGAATAAATGTTCAACTTTGTGGTGATCCCACTTCCATGTCACTGCCCTGGTCACCTTTTCTCCTTGGTTCCCCCTCTAAGGTACCCCATCCCAAGGGCCCTTAGGCAGGTCAGACTGGTTCCCCCTGCCCACCCCACCCGACCTAGCACCAGCTCTTGCGACCCAGGCATCTTTATACCCTGGTCTATGGATCTCCGTAGAGCGATGAACTTGGCCCCCTCATCCGATGTGGACATTTTTCTCGCTTCAGCAAAGGCAAGAAGAGTGCCCTGAGGAGTGGCTGTGATGAGCGGGATTCGGAAAGTGTCCACAGAGCCGATCTGCCTCCCACTCACCCACAGCAGCTGTTCCATGGTCACCAGCGGTTGAACCTGCGAAGGGAGAGGGAAGGGTCAACGGGACACACTTGAGTTGAGGTTTTAGGAAGGATGAATAGCGGCTCTGAGTCAAGTTCCGCTGAGACAGGCAGGGTGATGGGGATCTCGACTGGGGGCGGGGGTCCCAGAACAAGGAAGGAAAACCCAGAGGAAGGTTTGGAGGGAAGCTAGGGGAGCGGAATGGGGCTGCGAGGGGAGAAGGTGCCCTCAGAAAGAATAGGGAACCTGGAAAAGGGAAGGAGCTAGAATGAGGGAAAGGGGCTGAAGACGGAGACGGGCTGGGAGCGGATGGAAGGAACGGGGTCAGAGAGTGTCGCGGAGAAGAGGGGCTCAGCAGTCCGCGTGCCAGGGGACCCACCAGGAATAGACCGCTCTCGAGACTCGGGATGGGGCTATTCGAGGGGTGACTCACCAGACCGAAGTCGTTCTCTGCCCTAGCCCCGAATACTGCCGCAGACAACAGCAGTGGGAAGATCGCGGCAAATACCTGTATCCTACAGACCCCCCCGAACCCCAGCACCCGTGGTCCCCCGGGTCCGCCAAGGAGCACTGTGCTAGGTCGCTTCTCTGTCATTTCTCCCCCGCGGTGACTGCGACCTTGGCCCCCAGGACTAAACCAGGGCTGGAGTCAGTAGCTGACCCCCGCCCTTTAAACAATCAGCTGTCATCAAAGCCGCCCCTCCTGCAGCCGTGCTGCTGCACTTCCGGGACTCAAATTGGCCTCCGGAACTCTCCGACTCTCCAAAGTGACCCATCAGCGCCTCTAAGCTAGCCCTCCTATTGGCCCCCTTTGAAACCCCGGAGCGCGTGACTCGGCGGAGAAGCGTATTGGTTGGGATGAGGAAAAGCCGGGTTTGACTCCTCAGGAGCCTTTTGATTGATCACAGCAGCTGGTGTACGTCATAGGGGCGCGGCCTCTTTTAAAGTGCCCAGTCGGAAGAAAAGGGTTTCACTGTCGAAGGAATAAAATATCAATCTTTAATAAAATCTTTTTACTACAAAATCAAGACCTGAAAGGCGGATGGGGCTGGGAGGCTGTATAGGCAGGGTGCAGTCTTCGTTCAGGGTCGCGTCTCTCACTTCTTTCTCCTGTTCTCTGGGGGCGCGTCGTTCTTCTTGCCTAAAATCTTCAGAAGGGCCTTGGACATGTAGTAGGGGCGGTCCAGGGAGCCGTCGTTCCGCTCTAAGTCTTCCACTGAGCCGCAACGAAAACCAGTTAGAAGGGACCCTGGGATCTCCGCACTCCCGGCAAAACCCGGGACTAAGTGACCAGTTGCCTGGTTTCCAGGCTGCACTACCAGTAAGTTACGTAATCGCAGTTTACTCATTGGCAAGTGGGGTCAATAATAGTCCATTTCATAGCTTGTAAGGGTTAACGGGGAGGGGGGACAAAACCAAACCAAACAATCTCGCATGCTTACTGCTTAGCGCAGAGCCTGGTACCTTACTAAAGTCTGAATGGATGTATACAGTAGGGTAAGAAAACCCTGCTCACTACAGCCACCTACTGGGAAGCCTACATTTCTACCCAAGGTTTCCCGGGAAATTATACTGGAAGCCTTTCCCCTGAAATGCTCTTTCTTGAAATAACCCAGTAGCCCACCAGCCTGGGAGCTCACTTCCCCCTTCAGCCTCCAAACACCTGGCCAGAGGATGTCAGGAGATGCTCCCTCTGGCTCTGGCTCCTTTGACTCACAAGGTTGCTGTGTCTAGAAACACCAAGTCTTCAAAAAACCCTGAGTAGCCTCTACCTTGAAGTTGGGGGGCGGGGGGAGTCACTCACAGAAACAGAGGAAGAGTGTGTCCACACACATGCCAAAAACGCTGAAAAAGCCGCTGGCAATGACGTAGGCCCCCAGGATGGAGGTCTGGAAGACACAGGTCTGTTAGGATTTGTTTGGCAAATTAGGGGATAAGGCAGAGTCGAGGAGTCACACTCACCATGATGGGCAACCAGTAATAGTTGAGGTGGGGACTCTCAAAGTCTTTACCCAGCCCAGGGATACGACCAGTGAAAAAAAAGAAGGACAGGACGCCTGTGGGAGAGGTCAGTGTCATTCCTCTAAAGTCACCTCTTTAGCTTCCCAGCACCCCCGCTCTTTGTCCTTGTAACTCCTTCCCTAGTCCTTACCAACACCACCCACCACCAGCAGCTTCCCGAAGAACAGCAGCAGGTCTGTGACTTTGTCCAGGACAACCACCCTGCATGGGGAGTTGGAGCAGATGGGGGGTGAGGGGCCCAGCAGGGCTATATGATTTGTCATGACAGAGACAAAATGAAAATTGTTCACATTTCAAGATCGAGGCAGCAGAGCTTTAAAGAAAACTCAAGGCCCTTCGAGCACAGCATGCCCATGAAGCTGGCTGTACGTAGGAGATCACAGGGTCGGGGGACAACCTGACCTGACAATGTTCCGCATGAGTAGCATGAAGGCATTTTTGGCTGAGACACAGAAATTCTTCCCGTAGATGGCAATCTGGGTGGGTGGAATGGTGAGTTACCTGTGGGGAACTCACCAGGGCCAGGGTGGGGGGTTTGGGGCCAAGGGCCTTGAAGCAGAGGGCTGCTTGCGCAGTAGGGCTCACCATAATGTATGCGTTTCGGTTCAGAAACTTGATAAACTTTTCCAGACACCAGAGGCAGCACTTGAAACAGCACATGATGCAGCGGGCTATAGGATTCTGGGCTCCTGGGGACCAGAAGCTTGGGTTTGGACACTGGTTCTGAAGGCCTTTCTCCGAGGATCCAGCTGCTCAGCTGGGCCTCCCTAAGCCTCTGACCTTGGCTCACCTCTCAGTTTGTGATCAACATACTCCAAGATGACTCGGGCTATCTGCACAAGGGCCAGGATGAGGGCCCCAAAGGCCAGAGACCCTGTGTGGTAACTACAGAAGGATTAGTCAGTCAGAGGCAGCCCGCAAATCCCTGGGACTCCTAGGCTCACAATTCCTAGCCCCCAGCCCCAGGCTTACCGTAGTGTGCGGATGAAGGCAGCGCTCAGAGGGAAGGTGGGAATATCCCGGGGCTTGTCTAAGGCCCAGTAGAAGGAGGCAAAGGCCCCAGCCAGAACACACTGGCCCAGGGCCAGGACCCAGTTGAGGGTCCAGAATAGCCCCAGGACTGCGTAGATTTGCAAGTTGAAGAGAAAACGTTGTACCAGGCCTGTGGACAAGTAGCCTTGGAAGACGCACATCAGCCCTGGGCATGAGGAGTTCATGGGCTGAGCCTGGGGGACACAAATTAGGCTCATTCCCAGTCAGCTCCTGCCACTCCCAGAGTAGAGGGCAGGAAGTAACAGCCTCCCCCAGCTGGGGAAGCAGGTCCTTTCAGGAGATTCATCTCCAGGTTCAAACTGGGTTTAGCTTATCTATTATGTGAGCATAATATTGTGAGCATTCACTTCTTTCGGTCTCTGGGTGGGCACAAGAGCTCCCAGGAGGTCCCAGGACATGTGGGCAAAGGCTTAATGGTGTGTGGGGAGCCATGTGACTAAAGCCTGGCTCTGGAGAGCTTGGCACTCAATTAGTAGCGCCCTGTCAGAACAGCCTCTGCAACTCTAGCCGGAACGTTTTCCAGCAAAACTGAAGACTGGATATCAGATGATATTAAAATGTTATTGTTCATTTAGTTGAGTTTGATAATGGCAATAGTGGTTATGCTTTTTAAAAGCCCTTATCTGTTAATATCTATCCTGATGTATTTACAAGGGAAATGGCATGATGTCCAGAATTTGCCTTAAACTCTAAAAAAAAAAAAAATTGCTCATATGAGTGATGAGATAGATAAAATGGGAAAGTTGAAGGTGTGGAATCTGGGTACAGGAATTCTCTACCTAGTATGTGGTTTGAAAGGTTCTGAAATAACAAGTAAAAAGCACAGAAATTAAAAACAAAACAAAACAAAAAAACCCCACTTTCCAGCAAATGTGACAACCTTGGTAACTCCTGAAATTTGATACAAAAATACACCACTTTTCATTTGTATGTAACTGTGGCTTTGTGTCAATCTCCAATGCTAGATCCTGAGCAAGTTGAAAGCAAGAACCAGGTCGTTGGGGCCTTGCACACCCAGTGTCTGGCATACGTGGGCCTATTGCGTAGGTAAGCAAACCTCCCGCTCCTGTTTCAGAGTGGGGCGGAACAGCTGTGGGCAGAGCCCCTGGTCCCAGCTCAGAGCAGGTGGCCACATGAAAGCTTTGAGGACAGTAAAGTCCCAGAGGTCCAGAGCCACTCCCTGGGACCCTCTCAGGGGAGACTCCAGCAGCCCCTCTTCCAGATCCCCACCCCAGGTGTCCCGCCTACTTATCGTCTAGGGAGCTCTGTTTCCAGGGAGGGGGATTTAAAACAAACAAACAAACACTAAACAAAACCCGTAGTTATCAGCTCTTATCAGGTGCCAAGCATTGCACTAAGAGCTTTATATGCCCAATATCAATTAATCTTCTTGGCCACCTTGAGAGATTGGTATTAGGGTTAGCTCCACTTTCCAGATGAGTGGACTGAGACCCGGTTGGGTGGGATTGCTCATGGTCCTCCTGGAAGAATGTCTTGGGGAGGGTAGAGTTCTGGTATGCAGCTTCCTGAGGCCTGGCCCTGCATCTTGCACAGCATACCTCTTCCTCCTGCCTCAGGTGTCTGTCCTGCCCTGTCTCAGGGCCAGGATGACTAGATGTGGAGCCAGAGGACTGGCTTCCTTTTGGGCTCTGTTGGGGGCATGCTGTATGACCTTGAATGAGCCCCTTGCCTTTTCTGACCCTCAGTCTCTACTCCACGACGAGGCATTTGTGGAGATCCCTTAGACCTGTTGGTGCCTCCTCCTTCTCTACCCCCAATCCCCTCACCATGGGGTCACATGATGTATTCACTGGCGCTGTCTCACAGCTGGCTAAGCTGATGTTGGGTGCCCAGAAGACATACTGAGGTTGTCCTGATGTGGCCAGGTACCCAAAAGGAAGTCAAGGAAAGCATGGTCACATGTGGGCCCCTACAGAGTGCCTCCTTAGGAATCCCTTCCCAGGGCCTCATGTAGGATGTTCACTGTGCAGATTGGCTGGATTCAGCCTGACCTCCCTCTTCCAACTCTGTCTAGGGATGGGGCTGTGTCTGCCCAGAGGAAGGGGAGCCGTCCTCCCATTGTGCTAAGACACTGTGCAGCTACTGCCCTTTCTGCCCTCTGCCCCACAGACCCCAGGAGGGCTGGCTGTGTGCAAAAAGGATACAGAGCGATCATGGCCCAGTAGGCAATGCAGATGAACAGGAGGACAAAGGTAATCAGCGGGTAGAACATGGTAGACATCATCAGTCCCACAGCTCTGCAAGGAGATGAGTACGTCCACCAGCAGGCCCCCACTGGCCCTGGCCCCACCTCTGCCCTGCAGGGCCTGCTCCCTCCCCCAGGCTGGGCACAATGCTGGTGATCCCAGAGGGAACTGAAATGAAGGAATCAGGCTCAGGGTGGAGCAGCTTCAGGGAGAGTAAGGGAAACGAGTCCTCAGTGTATGGTGTGTTGGCCAACTTGGCAGATAGGTCTTGGTTGGGAGCAAGCTGCTGCTTCTCTTCCCTGCCTGGATTCCTGGGTCATCCCACCCAACCACCATCACCACAGCAATCATTCTCAAGGGGGATCTGCTTCATGCTCAAGGCACTTGAGACCCTAACTCACTTCATCCTCAGGGCAATCCTACAAGGTAAGAACAATTACCACCCCCGCATTGCATTACTGATAGGTAAACTGAGGCTCAGAAAGGCTGTCATACATCAGAGTTAACACTATTCTGCCCTT